TGATTATGAATTATTTAATGAAAAGAAGTGCTTAAACTCCCCCTTGTATGTTTTTGAATTAAGGGGTTGAGTATTGAAATTATGAATTGTAAGTGTTTGGTATGATATGGTGCATTACACAAGTTAGTTTTGGTATATTGCAGGTGGTCTAAATAGTGTCAATGGCTATTGGCTTTTGGTGAATGAGTTGGACACTTAATTTTGAGAAAAATGTTGAAAAAGTGTGAGTTTTGAAAAGAGTGTCTAAATTTTGATTGTGTAATAATTTGATTATGAGACCAAAGCCATTAGTTAGGATTTGGAAAGAGCTTTCTGTAGACACCAGTTTACGTTGATCGGACGTTGGACGAAGGAATGGGGCGCATCGAAAGTTGCCTCAAAAGTTATCGTTTGACGGCAGAAAGTTGCTGTCATGATACGTAACATGAGCCGCGGCGCATGTTCAACAAGCCCTGATGCATGCCCCAATTTTTACAGAATCACCTTGTTTTCCTGACTCTTTAGCAAATACACTCAAGTTTGAAATGATCTCATGCTTCTGCATAATTGTGAACTCTGATTTGTCTATTTTAAAGTCTTTGAAAATGGTTTTAGTTTTGAACACTTAGGATCCCAACTTTTCCACCTATTTGTAAACTTGGTATTATGCTATTTACCTTAATCCAATCTCTTAATTAATTGAGATTTGGAGTTAATCAGGGTTAGAAGAAGGAGGATATTACACTAAGGGTCACCTGTCAATGCCAAGTCATAATTTGCTCCGTCCTTAAAATGAACTTCGTAAAAACCCTACCCCACGTCAATGACTTTAACGTCTCCCATCCATCCCCACATCTGTGGAAGCTTGCTTTCCAATTATTCTGACCTAACCAGACGCCCTAATAATTTGACTATCAAGGCGTTACTCCATTTCTTCGCTAATCTCTCTTTTTTCGCCGAGGGAATCATCATATTAGGATCACATGGCGCCATCTTCAGTGAAATTTTCTTCTTCCACTTATAGTCACTCCACTAGTCTTCTTCCTCCTCCGCCTCATCCTTTCCCCTCGTGAAAGCCTGTTTATACGATTTCCATGTCTTTCCAGTATCCACTCCCTTGGCAGCATCTGTACCCTTATGTCCCCCGACCTCGTTCTCCCACATTGGTTCATCATCCCACATCCATGCTTCCTCCCTCAACACCAATATCTGTTCATTACAGAAGTTACCTTTCCCGGAACAAACCTTTTTCTTGCTACGGATAAGAGCATTTCTCTCTTTCGACGACGATGCTGGAGTCTCTTTCTCTCACACTCATCTCTATGTTATCCCTCCCTTATTTGTGTATATTTATTTTAAATTTTACAAATATACAACAAAAAATAAATATGTACCTTCATTTTTTAAGTTCCACTCATTGGTTTTTCATAGCATAAAAATCATTATTTATCATGTCTATGATAAACTTTTTAACAATTTCCTTCTCAATATAAATTATAATTAAATTGGTGAAAATTATGAAATGAAAGCAAAATGAAAGCATATAAAATGAAAGCAAAATTAAATGACATCAATGCTTTTATGATTATGTATATAGTATTATGTTGTTGAAAATAAATAAATCCTATAACAACTACATCTCTAGGCTAATGAAACAGTTGTACTATACATGCATAAAAGATTATATATATATATATATATATATAGTTGAAAATGAACATTTTATCTAGTATTTTAAAGTTTTTGTAATGTGACAACTTAAAGGGTCAAAAAATATATAGTCTTGCATTTTACTAAGAAAAAGAATTAAAAAGTCACTAAGCCATGGTCTCCCAATCCCTTGTTTCCACCCTTGCATGTGTGTGTATATATATTCAATTTATTAATCCTTTTATTATTTAGTAAAATGTGTGTTAAAAAATATAAAGCATTTTTTGAGTGGTTGGATGTTAAAAAATATAAAATATTTTTAGTGTTTCAAGATATAATTAATGTTCTTTTTCAAAAAGTGTCAATAATAAATAAGTTATTTTATATTTATTTTAAAATGAAGTATCATATTAAATAAAGGTGAACATGAAAAGAATGTGTTAGTTTAAAAATAATTAATTATTTTATTAGGTGAGATTTAATTAAAAATATCTTATATTTCTAAACGGAGGAATACTCTTTTATTTATTTCTTTCTTTCAATAAAAGTATTTTGTTATTTCTTTATTAAAAGCCAAATATTAATTAATTTTTTAATATTACTCAATTTAAACTCATTAATTATGAGATAAAATATAATACGAATAAAAAAAATTTCATTTAAATATATACTCCCTCCATTAAAAAATATAAGGCATTTTTTGAGAAGTTAAATGTTAAAAAATGTAAGATATTTTTAGTCTTTCGAGGTGTAATCATTGTTTTTTTTTTTCAAAAATGTCCCTATTGATAATGAGTTTATATTTATTATAAAATATTTAATAGGAGTAAATATGAAAAGAGAGGATTAGTTTAAAAGTAAGTAACTACCTTATTGATTGTGAGATTCGATTTAGCAAAAGGAGTATAAAATTAAAAATTTATTTTATTTTTAAATAAATTAATAATTTAATTATCTTTCATTTGGTGCAATCCAAATAAAATTTTTAAAATAATTATTTAAGATGAATAGTATCAATACAGTCCATATTTTACTCAATAATTATTGAATTTTTTAATAAGAATCCATCCAGGACACAAATTTAGCAGTAAAGCTGTTAAATCTAAATTATAATATGGATTTTTTAAAAGAAAAAAAATAAAGATTCCTCTGGAAGGTAAAATATGCCATTTTGTGACAATAAAATAATGATGGGTTTGGACGATAATGATTGAATGCCATGGAGTTTGGGAAGCGTCGGTTAGAAGACATGACAAGAGAAAGAGCAGAGATGACAGATGTCATGCACCCACATGCGTTCTTTTTGACTTGTCCAAAAGCAAACCCTTTCATTCATCATCCACATATTCTTTCACCGTCTAGAGCACAGAATTTTTCTTTTCATCCGCAAACAATTACGCAAAAAGATTGGGAAAGAAAAAGGGAGAAAAAGGTGGGGAATGATTTATTTATTGAGGAATATAATAAAGATCCCATAAAAAAATTAAAAAAGGAGACAAATACGTGGTGGTCCCATGACTAAAAGTAAGCCTGTCCATTGAAAAGCAATGCTGGTTTGATTTTATTTATAAATCATGTTTATCTAATTTATGTATGTTTTAAAAAATTAGATAGACTTATTTGATTGTCTTAAAATTTTAGTTTATATATTCACACATAACTTTAATTAAATACAAATTATTGGTTATTTCTCTAAATCCTTTGTTCGCTATGATTAATTAATAACATTTATAGTAAGGGAGCTAATAGAAAAGTCACACACTCACACTGAGCATTGATCGATCACCAAGATTTAAATTTAGTAAAACGACAAATTTATTCATTAAATGATTGTCTTATGTAATATAATAACAATTATTTAATTTAATCAAATAAATATTAAAATTTTTTTCATATATGATACTTAGCATCAATTTTCAAATTTTTGAACATTTTAATTTTGATATTTTTCAATTATTGATAAAATTTAATGATCAGAATTGGGACATTAAAAAGGTAAGTAAATTTAAGCTACTCATTGAATCCAAATCCCAATCACAATTGAATATAAATGAGATCTCATGGATTTAAAATTTTCTTTTGGCGACAAGCAAATCATAACATAGTATTAACAAATTATAGATAATGTAGCGAAAAATTAAAAAAAATTAAATTGTTTAATTATCAAAAAATAATATTTTTAATTAACAAAAAGAAAAGGACAAAAAACAAGGATGGTCCTATGCTTAAAAGCAAGTCATGCCCACTGTAAAGGAACAAAAAACAACGTTGCCTCGTCCCTCCGTATGTTGCCACCACATGTGGTATGGGGTCCTGGGATGCCTTGGTCCCCCACGCCGACAGTGTTTTATTATTTTTTTGTTTTTTTTTATTATTTTGTTCTCCTTTGAGAGGGTTTCTCTTTCCAACCACTCCGTCAAAATGATCATTACAAAATGAAATGGATGTATTTATCAGATTCATATATAAATATTGGTAAGTTTACTTGTAAGTAACTTTTTTAAAGACATTTTTTATATTTACATAAATTTAAATTTAAAACCTTATGTTAGTACAAGCATGACTCCTACTAAGATTAACAGTTGTCAATATACATATAGGGAGAGATCACTCCTTCCCTCTGTATGCGTTTCCTCTATCGAACTGCATAAACATATTTTAAATTAATATATAGTAATGTTTAAATTTAATTTTAACCTTTTAGGGTTAATTCGTAGCAAATGATATTTTATAAGGTAAAATATATTATTAAAAAAATTAATGATATACTCTTTTGATCCTCTTTATAAATTATTTCTACTAATATACTAATGTAAAAGAAATAAAAGTGAGTAAATTTTTAAATATATCTATATATTACAAATCTAAAATGTGATACTTCCTCCTGTCGCATTTAAAAGCCACATCATAAAAGTAATTTTTGATTTAAAATATAAAACACTTTATAATAATTAAATTATTTTTTTTAATTTTATCTCTTCTTCGTTAGCGTAAAAGTATTTAATATAATTATATTATTATTTAAAATTAAGGGTAAAAATAAAAGTATATCTCAATTTTTTATTATATAAAAAAATTAATTTTTTAAAATATGTAAAATGATTGAAAATGTATTATAATAAAAATTGGAGGGAATATCATGTTACTTGTTTTTCCTCTCATAAAAGACAATTTTAAAAATATTTTTTAAATATTACCTAAAATATCACATCCTGAGTTATAAATATAACCAAATAAACATTTTAAAACATGTCTTATAAATGAGATTGGAGGGAATACAATTTTAAAATAGACAAATAAATTTAGAGTTTGAGAGTTAGTGAATCAAAAGACGCATTTGATCTATAAATACTTAGATTAAAACAAAAGAATTATCACGAATGAAACAATATCATATACCCCATCTGTATCTATAACCAAAAAAAAAAAAAAAAAAAACATACAGGGAAAAAAGGGGGAAAAGAAAAATATCCGAACGAATTTCTACTCTACCATAACAAAGTCAAATCATATATTTATACCTCAAAAAAAGAGAGAGAAAAAGAAAAAGAAAAAAGAAGAGTGGGCGAGTACTCATAATCCTGACTATTGGTGAGTGTTCTGTAACTTGGATCCAATCATCCTGGTTTCAAACTTCTTGATGACACCACCAATGTCTCTCATGGTGGTGTCCAACACATAAGGAATCTTCTCGTGCATGAGTTCTGTGGAATTCACAAGCATTTTACAGGTCTCTCTTCTCGCGGCTATGGTTCCATGGTAGTGATAGTATTTAATCCTTCCCTCTGTTTTGTGCGTTGTTTTTCCTGCCAAGTTCTGCGACATGTGAACACCTGTTGCGTACACGTTACGAGGTTGCACCGCGTACTTTCGATCCCTCCTTATGCCTCTTTTCACGTCCCTGTACACCAGTTTCTCGAATACCCATTTCCTGCATTGTTCAAATTCCTTCCGTGCTAGTTTAGATCAGAGTAAAAGTGGGAAAAAAAAAAAGACAAAATTAAGAATTTTTTTTTTTCAAAAATAACATTTTTTTAGGGTTAAAATGCATAAATACTTAGAAATTATTTTTCAAAGAGCTTTTAATATTCTTAAATCAACAATGATTCATGAGTATTCATTAATTTTATAAAAAAACCAACCCAGCCAATCCATTAAAATAACCTAAGGTTGCCAGTTAAGTTCCAACGATAAAACTTAATAAATTGGGAAAGGTCAGCATATTTTATAGTTAACAGATACCCATATTTGTTGACTTAAACATATATAAGGTCCTGAAAAAGTTTCCAAGTATTTCCGCACTTTTAATATTATTTTTTTTACTATTTTTAAGAATTTTCCTTCCTAATTTTCATATCTCTATATTTTTCTTTCTATTTAAACAAAAAGTTAGACTCGGTTAGAGGAAATATTAAAAAAAAAAGGAAAATAGAAAATTATAAGAATAATTTTTCTCTAATAATTTTTCTTCCTATCTAGAGGAAGGGTCAAAGTTCACACATGGATCTTCAAAGGGAAAAACAGGACATGAAAGAAATAGACACAGTACATGAATCAATGTTTAAATTAGAATTTACAACCAATAACAACTCACCATGTAAATGAATTTTACATATTTTTCAACTTGATTTGCCAATACCAGATTAAAACTTGTTCATTAAAACTGATTTATGAAACCCCAGGTACAGAGTTTGGCTTTGACATAAGGTCAGAAAGAAAAATCCCAACATGAATCCTGTCTCAAACCTGTCCCATGTTTCTAAAAAAATAATACATATATATATATAATATTAAATAATTCAAATTATAGATCAAATGATTGTTTCAAATTAAAAACATTATAATATGTAAACAATTAGATTGACTCAAAACACATTTTCTCATCAAATAAAATTTATCATTTTCAGTAAATTGTGGGACAGGACAGGAAAGACATGTAGTCATACAATATCTGCAACATTAGGTATAAATATCAACAAGAAAAAAACTTGGCCATAAAAAAAAAGTTAAAAATAATATATGGGAGAGTACCGAAAAAAAAATCTAACCTCAGCCCCACCCATGGTTATTCCTATCTACTTAATAATATTTATAAGTCATTTTTAATATGATTTACTATAACTAAAAATAAACCCTTAAATCTAAATAAATTTGTCTTAAAATTTAACATATTTTCACATTTATAAAGGCAAACAGAATTATTTTAATAATTTTTTTAACATTTAATAAGGATAGAAAAGTAAAAAATGAACATGACTAAAATTAATCTTTTTTTTTCTGCCTTATAAATAAAATTAGATGAATATATCTAATTCCCTCAAGAAAAGTGAGAAAACTTGTGTGAATGAGAATTAGAAATGGCAAAAGGAAGTAGAAAGAGTGAAAGACCAAGAGAGTAGGGCAGGGCCTTTTTCTGTGTGTCTCTTAAATTACAAAGCAGATTCCAATTCCCATATGGGGTTATATGTTGTAATCAGACAATATGTAAATGCAATAATACATTTGACAACTCAGACAACACTTTGAGACTTTGTTTTCTTCATCACGTGATGACACACTACTAATAAAAATCGAACCACCACCACTACTTGCCAGATAGATGTAACTGTTATAGTGGTGAATATGTTAAGCTTCTTAAATGCATCTCATTTAAATATATATATATATATATATATCTTGGAATGCATACCTACAAATTAGTCATATTCAATATTGATTCGTAGACATTGGTAGTAAAATGTCTTCATCTAGAATAAAATATCATTCAAAACGGCCAACTAGTTTATAAGAATACCACTCAAGCCATATGAAATTTGTTCAATGAGTAATGTGTAAGTACTACCATTATGAAGATTTCTTTAGTGCCTTAATAGGTACTGTACTTCCTTTAAAAGGCCAATTAGTTAATAAGGACATGACTTACACAGTCTAACATAACTTCAAATCTTACCGGCCAATGTTAATATGCAAGTAGTTCTATAAACACTTTTTAAAGTGAGAAACCTAACCAGACCATGATAAACTCAAAACCTAATTTACCAAAACTTTTAGATGCCAAATAAAAAATTCTAAACAAAGCAAGCTCGATTATTTTATTTTAATTTTATTTTTTTGGGTTTAATTTCTTTAATTTCCAAAATCTGGAATCCAAGCCTCAGAAAGTTTTTATTGAAGAAGACAAAATAGGTGATTAAAGAATGGTTGAGAATTTTCAGCAACACAATTCAGACTCTTGACCAAGCAAGAACAAATTGTTATTTCTAACAATAAACACGGTCCGGCACATATGAATAAGAAACACATCACATTGAAATAATTGTTTAATCCTAAATTCATAACACCACATGTCAATGCGCGTTAGGAGGATAACACATGACACACAAGAATGGGGCTAATAGTTCCAAACACATCAATCATCTTCTTCCCTGTCCTCTACCATTGCTTTGAAAAACAAGACAATTATTTATCATCAATAGAAAGTGACAACACGCATCTGATATCCCCAATGAAAATAGTTGGGCAAAATGCCCATCGTTGATTGTTCCACAACGTTAAGATTCAGAAGAAAAGAAGTATCAAGTTGGGCATAATAACCATAACCGCATCCAGATCAGCTCTGAATTTCACATTGAACATAATTCAACTTGTTTGATCAATTCAATACCACGATTGACACGCAAAATTGAGTTCAATTCATAGCAAACAGACAAGATCTCAGGTTATGAATGGCAACATACAGTAAAATAGATCAGAGACAGAGAAGGAGAGATTCTGAAAGTACCTGTAAGTTTTGCCGTAATCTTCAGAGAGACAAATCTTACTGCTCATGGGCATCTGTTCGAAGGTGAATTGAGAATACTCAGAAAGCGAATCGAGCACAGTTTTGATTGTGCTTTTAGGTGGCACATAAATATACTCATCAACATCGAAGAAGAACATCCACTTGGCCATAAACTTGTATCGATGCAAACAATCATTCACCACCATGAATTGATTGTGATAATACCCATCAAATCTCTCTTGGTCTCTAATATCCTGCAATGTCACATACCCCAATTCCATCCATGGCTTCAAAACCTCAAGCACTTGTTCGTGGACCCCACCTGCATCGTGTATCACAAAGTGAGATCTGGGTCCGAAGAGCCTCACATGGTAAGCGATCCATTCTCTAACTCTCTGAGGGTTCAAGTTTCCGTACAACGACGATCCACAGTAGAAGTACTCGTACTTGGGCTTCGAGGTGAAAATGGAAACGTCTAGACTTCCCGGCGACTCCGTGAGGACCTCCATTCTATCAGTGAAGTTGAAACTGGCGTCACCGCCGCCGGAAGTGGCGGCGTAGAGGAACAATTTGCCGCCGGAGTTGTCAACATTGACGGGCTCCGAGAAGGTACAGTTCACGATCACCACCGTGTAGACATGGCCGTAGCCCCAATCTGGAAGCATCTTGTACCCAACGGTGGTGACGGGTTTCGCGGTCGTGTTCACGCGCGGGGCCCACTCACACTCGTAGGTCGGCTTGCCGTAGACATGGAGCGGCTTGGAAGAGAGACCTACAATAGCGAATGTGTTCAGACCTCCTCTGTAAGCACCCATGGTGACGAAGTTGTAAGCTGCAGAACCATAAGGATTAAAATCCCGCTTGATGATTCCATCATCGGAGGCCGGCCGTGGTGGTGACGCTGGCGGCTGCACAGACGGTGGAACAGAAAGCAATCTAGATAACTGGGTAGACGCAGAGGATTCACTAGAAGAAGAAGAAGGTGGTGGGTCTTGGGGTTGGGAGACGCGTGAGATGCAGACACGGAGATCAGAAGCAGAGATGGTGAAGCGAGAAGGGATGAACTGAAGAAAAGTGGCGATAGAACAAAGAACCAGAAGTGTTGTGAGAAGAAGCTTGAGCTCAGCTGTGTAGTTCGCTAATACACCAACAAACAGTTTCTTCTCTTTCGCCATTGTTGCCTACAGTTTCTTCTGAATCTTCCCTTTTCTCTGTGAACAGAGAAGGTGGTGGGAGGGGTGGCGAAGGAGAAGGGAAAGTGTTTATAGTCGTTTTGTGGGGTGAGTCTATATAATGTGCTTAGAATTTAGATTTAGAATTATTGAAGAATCAAATTAGGGCATTTCGTAGCAGAAGATTATGATGCCATATGATTGATGCTTGATTGAGGGCAGTTTTCCAACCGTGATATGAAGCCCTCCATCTAATATGATTTGTAAAGAAAATGAAACTTTTTAATTATTTAATTCAATTTTTGTTAAAAATATTCGTTGATTTATTTTAACATTTTGTTTTTATTTTTATTTCCATATTTTTTTACAGTTCTATCTCTGCATATTTTTAAATTTTTAAATCATTTTAATTACATTTAAATGATATGAATTTATTTTTTTAAATGTGAATATGAAAAATAAATTTTTGAAAAATATTAAATTCAATTTATATGAATTAATGTAAAAATTTTAAAAAATGAAAAAAAAAGATGGTGGAAAAATAAATTTTTGAAAACAAACTTGCACTTTCCTCTTGTTAACATAAATTTTCTAAGGTTCTTACGAAATATAAGAAAAATGTCTATATAAAAGTTGAATTTCTATATAAATAATAACGTTGAATGTCCATATGAAAGATATTTGATTAAAGTATATTTGGTTGATATAAACATATAATGTAAAATTGCTCAATTTTCTCTTACTTTTATTTCACGCATGTGCTGATTTGTAAACAAAATGAAACTTTTTAATTATTTAATTCAACTTTTGATTTAAAAAATTGGTGATTTGTTTTAACATTTTATTTTGTTTTAAGTTTTAATTCCATATTTTTTCTCTTTACAGTTCTACCTCTGCATATTTTTAAATTTGAGTCATTTTAATACATTTAAAAGATATGAATTTATTTTCATAAATATGAATATGAAAATAAATATTTCCAAAAAAATATTAATTTCATTTTATGTAAATTAATGTAAACAATATAAAAGTTGGGAAAAAAAAAGAAGAAGGTAGAAAAACAAAATAAAAAATTTCAAAAATTTCAATTTCCTGTACTTTCCTCTTTTTTTTTTTTTAACGTAAATCGTCTAAAGTTAGAACGAAATATAAGAAAAATGTCTATATTGAAGTTGAATTTCTATAGAAATAATCACGTTGAATAAGGTATTTCCATATGAGAGATCCTTGATTAAAGTATATTTGGTTGATAGAAAGATAGTCTATAAATATATAATGGTAAAATTGCTCAATTTTCTCTTACTTTTATTTCACGCATGTGCTGATTTGTAAACAAAATGAAACTTTTTAATTATTTAATTCAATATTTGTTAAAAAATATTGGTGATTTGTTTTAACATTTTATTTTGTTTTAAGTTTTAATTCCATATCTTTGCTCTTTACATTTCTACCTCTGCACATTTTTAAATTTTTGAGTCATTTTAATACATTTAAAAGACATGAATTTATTTTCATAAATATAAATATGAAAATAAATATTTCAAAAAAATATTAAATTCATTTTGTATAAATTTAAGTAAACAAAATAAAAGTTGAAAAAAAGAAGGTAGAAAAACAAAATGGAAAAAAAATTCAATTTCTTGTACTTTCCTCTTTTTTTTTAAACATATATTCTCTAAGGTTCTTGCGTATAAGAAAACAATGTCTACGTTGAAGTTGATTTTCAATAGAAACAATAACGTTGAATAAGGTGTTTCCAAAATTATGCGAGATCTTTAATTAAAGTAGACGTGGATAGATATTATAACGTGAAGATAGTATATAAACAATAAAACAGTGGGAAATTTGCTTAATTTTCTCTTAAATTTATTTCACGCATGTGCTTGATTGTGGCCTTTGGGACAGCGGTGAAATCAACGATTTTCTCAACTTACCTTTAATTAAATTAAAATAAAAGAATTTTTTTTTTTTTGACCAACAAATAGAAGAGATTAAACACCCACAGATTACAAAGGAGAGAGGGAGACATGGGAACGGGTTGATCCAAATGAAACTGCAGCGGTAGTTTAGTTTGAGATGAACAGGGCAATTGAATAAGGAGTTTTATCATATGACTCTTCTTTTAATGTACGAGGACAATTAATAATGGATTAAGTTGAGTAAAAAAAAGCTAATCTTTTATAATAAGATAAATAAATAACTTATCTTTTAAATTTTAAGTTTAATAGCATCATACATTTATTTATTGTGTAGATTATTCCATGAACTTTTGAGAACAGTTGTCGTTAATAAAAATTAATTTTAAACTTTAGTTAACTAAAAAAAATGATAGAAAAGACATTAAAAATTATAGAAAAATAAAAAAATTACAATAAAGGATTTAAAAATTATAGATAAGAACCTAAAAAATTATAGAAGGAGACAAATTTTTTTTTCTTTTCTATAATTTTTTGCTATCCTTTTCTATTATTTTTTAGTCAATTAATGGTTAAATTTAACTTTTATTAATGGAGGAGCTTGATTGCACTATTTTCAAAAGTTGAAAAAATAATTTGCACAATATATAAGCTCAAAGTCTATAGTGTTACTGATCCTAAAATTCAGGGTGTAATTTGCCCATGTATCCTTTATAATATATCAAATTAAGGTTCGAATCTCTAATAAAAAAATGTCCACATTTAGTATTTGGTCATGCTTTGAAAATGAGGATACTTAGATGCAATTAAAAATATATGAGCAAAACTTTTACATTGTGTTTGGGAGTCTTTTTAAGGAAAGAATAAAATGGAGTGTAATAGTTAAAAAGCTTGAGGCACTATTTGAGAGTTATTTATTTTTTAAAGAGGAGTGCAATGATAAGGAGCGGTCCTTAAAGCCATCCTTTGTCATCTAAAACTCAATTTTTTTTATGAACAAAAGTTCGTCTAGTTTGTAAGGAGTTAACTCATAACCTACAGGATTGTAGGATCAAATTTTGCTATTAATGTGGAAACTTTTTTAGTAAGCAATTTGTAAGTACCTTTGTAAACTTTCTTTGAGTCTGAAAACATGCTTTAGCCTTAATTAGCCTCTAGGATCCAACTCACAAAAAAATTTTATATAAAAATAAAACTTAATTTTTTATGAAAAGTTAGACGATTACAAATTATGAATTAAAGATGAGTGTGGACGATTAAGGAATGTGATAGGAAAGAAATTAAATAGTATAGTGGTGTACACAGGGGATAATCTATACAAGATAATGGGTAGAACCTAATCATGAATGCACAAGCAGGTTGAGAAAACTATTTTTATCAAAGTTGTGCAGCAAAATCATGATAAGTGGATCATGATAGTTGTAATGACTTCCGTCATTATCCAATACTAAGCCCAGTTAAAATGAATAATCCTTACAATAAGGATCAACTATAGCTAAAGTTAAATCAAAGTTCTTAAAACCATTTCTAAGGATTGGGATCCCAAAAGTCCTTTGAAAATAAATAATAAAAACAATGCTCTTGAAATTACTTAAAATCAAGGTATAAGAGTATGCCAAAATATGGGAAGTAAATTGAGCATTTAAAAATATTCAAACACAAGCATTTCAAAAATATAGGTACATCTATCATGGTCAACATCCTTCTTCACCAAAGCCAACTTTAAGTCACATATCCGCCACAGCGGAAGCCTCTTAATAGCACATAATTTTGCAGCATATGAAAAAGAAAACTAACTTCTAAATCATCTAATTAATAGCTTGGATCTTCGATTTAGGTGATCCAAGTGTTCACACAAAGATAAACCAAAAACCTACCCAATGGTTTTGGTTTCACTCCAATTTGGTACCGTATGAGGATCCTAGAATGCTAAGTACAAAACAAGCTTTTAATGCTACAAGCACCCTCAAGTGTGTCCCTTGTTGAACCATCATATTTTACCAATTGCAAATGATTCTCAAGCATACATATTTATAAGCATAATACCCTACCAAGTAAATCCAAGAAATAAAAGGTATCAATTATAATCATAAATATGCAATAATGGTCTTTCTCAAGTCTAAGTCCTAATAACCAACAAATGACTCAAATATAACAATAGGGCTACATGCAGATGATAAATAGTTAATATATTAAAATCAATCCCTAAGTTGGCAAAATATGTGTTTAATTACACTACAAGAAGACTAACAACAAGCTTAGTCCTTAACCTTGGAGGCTTCCCCTTTTTCTTTCTTCTTGAAATCCCCTGGAAATATTTTAATAGATGGGAGTAAGATTATACATTCTCAATAACCAAGGCACATAAATTTAAGTACATACAAGTGTGGCAAATACAAGCATATAAAGGCAAGGACTCAATTAATCTTCAACATGTATCAAAAGACCATTAATCAATAATCACAAATTATATAATGCAATGAAGATGATTATGCATGATCTTGTGTATTTCATCCTTATTCCTCTCCTAATATCTTTTGATTGAATCCATAGGCTATTAAATCATATAGAATAATCCATGTGACTGAATTAAACCTTCTCTCTATTTGTGGGGATTATTCCGCCAAGGTTCCCGGTCCTTATTCTTAGACCATGAATTTCCCCTTCGCAAATATTAGGGTGTCATAGTTGTCATGACCCACACTGTCCCTCATAAGAAATTGATGATCCCAAGCAAATGTTCTTACATATGCTATCCCTGAAGGACAATGGATATAAATGCACTATAATAAAAATGCATAAATTTTGATGGTGGCTGTACCACGTGGATTTCATAATGCCCTTACTTACTTGGGCGAACTCCCACCCATATATGATCATGCAACATGCTCATATTACTCAATGGCATGTCATAAACACAAATTTAATTAACTTATCTCATAATCAAGTGCATGTTATCAAGTCAAGAATAACTAACCAATAATTATCTCATGCTAAAAATCATATATTCGTGCTTATATTTCACTTAAGCACACAACTACATTCTCATATCCATGCTCATTGATTCACATATCCATAGTCATGCTCATTAAGATCACAATTATCACAATTCCATCATCATATCGTGCTTCATAATCACATTGAAATTCATTCAATCATACCATATAACTCATGTTGTAATATCCTAAACCTTTAATTCGGAACTAATTGCTACGTAAGGATAAATTAGTAGATTAATTATAATT